GTAAGTGAATTTTATTTAGGATAAAGTTAAAATTAAGAACAGAAGTAGGCAGTGCAGAATAAGCTCAGGTATAGTCAGTTAAGGATAAGGTTAAGATTAGGATTAGAAATAGGTAGTTATAGATAAGCTCACGGATAGAAGCGGCGCGCAAAAGACAAGGATAAGTAGTTGAATAGGGAACCAATAGATAGTAGAAGGTATAGCAACTAAAATGAACTGTTCTCTGGAAGACTAGAACCATTTTTTGGGAAAATAGAAAAAAGTTTTGGACAAAACTAGATTGGAGTTGAACCTTAGAGGGTTCTGAAAATGATACCTAAATCTAAAACCTTTTTATGGTTCAGTGTGACGCCTTTTTTTTACAGAGTAGAGGGAAAAATTTTCTTTTCAGTGAAAAATATTACGTAAAAAGTTCAATGTCCACATAGCAACACCGTTTTCGCTGTAGAGACAAAGTGTTCCATCATCTTGTATGACCATCTTAGCCGGTATTTCTTTTGTTGTTAATGTCTCTGGCCATGCCCAATATATATGTTTATCTGTATCACTAACGACAAGGAAGCCATCCGGCATTATAGCTAGAAAATAGGGGTTCAATCTAGTGGATGGGCCATAGCCAAAATTGTAAATTGATGTTACACCTTTCAAATACACATTTGTATATATAACGAGGTTACCATCATTTTGCATCAAGAGCCAATATTTACGATTCTTCGATAAAAGTCCATGATTTTCTTCCAAAATTGTGTCGAGTGGAAGAGTATCACCTGCTATCTCTGGCATCTAAAATAGATGAAATATAAAATGTTCAATTGTACACAAACAACAATATCTAATAAAGTTTGATTAACATTCTTCGAGATAAAAGAAACTCAATCATGAAATGAACTTTGGAAAATCTGTAGATTTGATTCCTTAAGTTATTAATACTTGAATCACTTTATAGAAAACAAAAATCGAAAAACTGATCTTTTTCCTCGTATCGCCTTAAATCCATAAATTACAGTATTCCATCTATATTTGTTTCTTACATTAACTTACCAATGTGTAATTAAAAATTGAATAACTGTTATCGTGAATGATGAACATTTCGTTCAAAAGGTCAAATTGAGTAGCTATAGAATTGTCATTAGATTGAATAATTGTAACCTTACTTTCGTATCGCCTTCGCAACCGATTAAAAGTCAAGAAGTCACTCACTTCAGTTCGAAGTAGTGACTCTTTGCCAAGTAAATTAGTACTGGTATTAGTTATCAAAATCGTTACACTTTCATACGGAGCAACTTGAGCTGCTTGAATAATTCCAGCAATTGTTTCCATATGTGGATGACCATATTCATCGTAACAAGATATAACATAATTCGAAGCATTGACTTCCTTGTAGAAAAGAGCAACTAAGTGTCGCCACCATAAAGAAGACATAAATTGGTTGTACCCAAAAAAATCGCGTAGAAGAAATTTTTGAGTGGTTAATACCGCATTGTGGAACTCTATTACATCGTCATGCATATTTGGAGGAAGAAAACTTTTGAATCTTTTACACATATTTTGGATTCTTTCAATTTTATCATCCGACATTTGCTCAATTCCAAATTCCGATGCAACATCCTTGCATAACTGGATTATTCCATTCATTATTTTTATCATGATGTCATTAGATAAGGTTTCTTGAATAATGTTCTGATAAGTCCAACTTTTCGACGCATCGGCTAAGCCTTTCCTCATATTTGAGGCAAACCGATCATACCATTCAGTGTGGTCATGAGTTAACTTGTCTTTATTCTTTTGAGATTGTTCATGATAACAAATCATAAATATTCCAATTGCTCGATTGACATATTTTACGCGCATATCTTTCAAAATAAACTTTTCATGATAACCATTTAATGGATCAAAATTATTGAATCGGCTGCCATGATGAGGGACTTTAAATAATAGTAAACCATTGAGTTTTATCTTAGAATCGTTACATCGTTTCTTCACGATTTCAGCTTGAGAATCACCGGTGAAAAGGATTCTTTTGGTATCTTTATATTCCGGATGAACATAATATGTCAATATGGATTCTGCATTCTCCTTATTGGAATCTATTTCAGGTGTACGGTGTGCTCCCCTCACAATTATTCCTTCATTGCTTGAAAACGACTTATAATAATGATAGATCTCGTCATTGTTCTTGTCAGAATATCTTTGTCCAGCAATATGAAGAAATGGGAAGTCGTAGAAAGAAGTAGCCTTTGTTTTTTCGTACTTTGGAGCTAACTCTTTGAGCCAGGTGAGTGATAGACATCCGCTACTGACATAAATGTTTTCTATCTCGATCTTAGCGTTGTTACGTAGCAGTGTCCCAATAAGTTGTGTATGATCTTTATCTTGATGTGTTAATATTAAATTATCCAATATTATCTTATCTTGAACAGTATCTGAAATCTGTATAAGATCCAAGAATTCCAGCAGCTTAATAAATCGCGGACTGGCTTCGTATGGCCCACAATCGATCATAGTACTAACGCGGGCTTTTCCATTTTTATGTTGTTCTATAAAAACTGCGGCATCACCACGACCAGCATTTATAATATAAAGTTCACACGAATATTTTTCCATTGTAATAGTAGTCAAAAAATAAAAAGAAATCAATAGTTGAAAAATGAAATGCAATCGTTCGAAGTAGTGATCTATTTATATATGCGTTTAGCGAGGGTAAAAAAGAAATAAAAACGCGGAGAGTGATATCTCAATCATTTTTTTCTATTGGCGAATTCGAAGAATAAACAATTTATTGGCTAATGATAAAGAAAACAGAATTGCGAATGTTGTCGCATCAGCTTTAGTAAACAATTTTAATGATGAAATGGAGATGTCGTATTAGCGCTCAATACATGATGCTCGTTTCCGTACAAAACAGTTTAATTTTGTTTATGTTACGAAAATCTCATGTGTTATTGATTATTATAGAGATTCATGGGTTTAGATTCCGTGCCGAGACAATGAATATTCCATTGGAATTTTTCCACATAGAACAATATAGAAAATGTCAGACTACTCAAGTAGCAAATAAAGCTACGTAGGAGTAAAATTTTTGTATAAAAAAGCGTGTTTTACTGTAGACATATGAATGCGTCTATATGGCTTCTATTTTTTAGTTTTGTCATTCGTCGTATTGATCATTTCTTCAATTAACAAAAACAAGTTCTTTCGATCTTTAGATCCGTTTTTTATCATTATTTAAACGGTGGAATAGGTTAAAACAGTTAATTGACTTGTATGTATTATAATAAACATCATCTTCAATGTCATCTCTCTTTTTTATTTCAATGTGTTACAGCCCACTGGAACTGTTTTTTTCGCTTAGATTCTGACTTCAATTTCTAACAGGAATAACCGTATTGATTTCTAAAAACAGAAATCAAATAAGATGCAACTTAATACCATATTATTTCTTGAAAGTGTGATCTGTTAATTGTTTTGCTAATATTCTAAAATCTGTCTTCAGTTGTAATTTTTGTATATTTATGTCGAATATTTCTTAGATACATAATTACTTGAATACTGTTGTATTATTTATATAACAGATTGTACTGAATTTTGAAATGGAAGAATTATCTTCGAGGCAATATTTTCATCATGTGCAGAGCCCGCTTCCAACTTCAACAGGATTGAGATCGAATTCAGAAAAATAGGACTTGGAATAGTCCCAACTGGAATTCACAATTCGTGACCTTCTCTCTCTCTCTCGCTCTTTTCTCTTCATCTTTCGGACAGTTTCAACGACCATCAGGATAAAATTCGAACTTTAAATATATGTGTATATATATATATATATATATATATATATATATATCATGGCATCGAACCACACATAGGACATATAGGTATCAGCAAGAAAAAAAAGAAAAGAAAAAAAGTACACTGAAAAAACATAAGGTATTCTACCAAACCCATCAAAAAGGTTTCGTAGGTGTCCAAAGCTTCCAAATGTGTCGACATGTTCAAAAGAATGGTTTTCAAAAATCTACGAAACCAAAAAAGGACCGGTCGGCGGGCACACACTCCGAACCCTCACCACGGAACCTTTTTAGGTTTCGTCACAAAATACGAAACCTTAATGGATTCGTACAAAACCATAGTGCGAAACCTTAAGGTTCCGTATTTTCTGGCGAACCTTTATTGGAACCGTGCGAAACTTAAAAAGGTTTCGAGACGACGGTTCGGAGCGTGTGCCCGCCGACCGATCCTTTTTGGTTTCGTAGATTTTTGAAAACCATTCTTTTGAATATGTCGACACATTTGGAAGCTTTGGACACCTACGAAACCTTTTTGATGGGTTTGGTAGAATACCTTATTTTTTTTCAGTGTAGCGATAATAATGTACTATCTGTTATCGCTAACAAATAGACAAATAGATTGATGTTCGTGATCGATTCATATTGGTTAAGATGATGTGAAACTATTTGTAAAGGTTCCGTTGACACTTCATGGGCAATTTGATTTAGCGGCAAAATCAATTTTAGGATTAAAATTCCACAATATCGAGACTTTCCCTGAGTCACCAATCGATTTCACTTAACGATTGCAAGCATCAACTACATGAAAACTATTGTTTTAAACAAGTATCTGTATATATCAATGCTGAAACTCATATAAACTACGGGTCCCAAGATCGTATATCAGCTTAGTGATATTACCACTGTCGTGGCAATCAGGATTCCAACAACAATGAAATATCGTAGTAGTCTGATCCTTTGAACTGTTTTTAGCTCAACTATTCAAATGATATCCTTTCGAAATCAAACTGTTCATCTCGTGCAGTCATTGCATTATATTAGCATTCCCATCGATGTGGTCATTGTGGTCAATAAAATTAAATACATGTAACTTATGAAGACCTTATTGAACACATTGACCACAATTACCACAATGATATCCTTCCATTTAATATTACTACAAATTACTCTGATTTAAAATTAAATGAATTTGCTGCAAATTCATATTCCCCATCTTATGACAAAATGGTTTCAACTTATTTCTACGCTGCTATTATCAGATACCTTCGAATTGTCAAGGAACTACTATGCAGAATGATTAAAGAATTCAAAAGAAAGGATTGGAACTAGTGGGCGTAACCAATAAAAAAGTAAGTGGATGGGGGGGAGGGGGGGGCACCTGAAAGATTTGTGATGGTGGCAGGGCAACGCTTAAAATTTTTCTTCTCCAGTGATTGCGCAAAGGCTGTTGATGGTTAGACGTCGCTTAACCATGCTTTATCTTGGCTACGTCACTAACGGGAACTTGATCACTGAAATTTTATCAAGCAAAATTGTAAGACAGTTGAGATTCAAAAAAAAGAAAAGAACGCCAATGGAATGATTCAGACTTATTCTCAGATTGCAAAAAGACTCGAAAGAAATTATTCTAGATTATTGAGACAAACTCAATGAATGAAATGCTAACATAATTACCATTGAGAAAGCAAAAAGAAGCTAGAAGACATGATTTCCGTTTAATCACCAACTGCTATTCTATTATATGTCCCAATTTAAAACAATCTTGTGAACTACAATCGGATAAGGCAGTCACACCGTAGGACTATTGGGTTACATCAAGTGGTTTCTTTGTGTGGATCTCACTTGGCGAAGGGTTAAAGTTTTGAGACCATTCCTTGAGGGGAAAATCGAGTCGTGTAGTTTGCACGGGCTTACGCTGGTGATATGTGAAATCAAAAACAGTTCATAAACACATCTACAGACAAAGTGACAACAAAAACATGACTAACCTTCCAAAACGTTGACCGGTGATGATGGATCACATGTTGTTTCTAACGTGGCACATTCGAGCAAAAGGCGAGCATGTTCAGCAATTGTTGGCTGTCGAAGAAATGTAACAAGTGGAAGATTATGTTTGAAGTTCATTGAGTATAACTGGAATAGTCTTATGAACAATACAGGATCGTCCCCCAGAGAAAAGAAAGATGTCGAGATTGATGGTATTGAGCTCACATGAGGAAGGACCTGACACCAAATTTTTTGCAATCGTTGTTCCATCTTTGTTCGCAGTATTGTATCTGTGTCTGACGAAACTAAGAGACAAGTAAAACCAGATAGCAGACGATTTAATCGATTTTAATGAGCAATATAAAGCGTAAGTAAAATCTGAAAAGAGAATTAAAAATGCGCCATACTTTATGTTCGGATAAAAAGCTTGTCAGCGCAGCCCCTTTGGGACTAAAATGTGAAACTTACATGCTTGCATTTGGAAAGAGAGACTGGATTAGAATAGAATACTTAAGGAGTAAACTCACTTTAAGATCATCACTCTCAGGTTGGTAGTGTTTCTAGTAGTTACAAAAGGTATAAGCAGATGATTCTACTGAAGAATTAAATATACAATTGACCGTCCTTAGCTTAATATGAGAATATTAGGTGAGATTTTTCTGAGTACAGTGTACGTTGGGCCATTTTTGCATATTTTAAATTATACAGAGTAAGGTCCAAACAGCACAGCAAAAAATAACGAATCTGTATTTGATATGCAAATATTTTTACTTGAATGGTAAATAATAGGAATTTGAATACGCTGATAACATTTTTCTATGTTCGATAACCCTAACACTCTCTACATTTCTAATACTTCTATAGGTCATACGGCTACAATAGTCGTTACAGTGCCTGCATCCTGTGTAGCACCTGTAGCCCTGTGAGGCTGAGCCTGTATAGCCCCTGTCGTCCTTGCATCCTGTAACCCCCGTAGCGGCTAACCTATATAGCTGAAACAGCGGCTTGCGGTCCATGGAGGGGGGAGGGGTCCAAAGATCCTGGATATAGAACTGACACTCACTATTTTTCTTCGAAAATAATGTGAGTTCCACAAAACAGGAAGCTAATTCTCGCATGGGCTAAAAACTGGTTTAAATAGGTAAAAATTGGTACCAAATCTAATAGACATTTGACAGAATCTTTAAAAAAGCCTCAGAGGGTCTTTGGGAAACGAGAGGGCAAAAAACCACACTTAAATCACGATCTATTGAACTACACGTATATTTTGTTTCTTCAAGGTACTATAAGTTACAACTACGCCAGGCTAGTGCCTGATGTGTAGAGAAAATACAAGAAAAAATCAGTCCCACAATGCAGCAAATCGGCAGTAGTGAAGTACGGATGTGTCGGATTTTAGCGACTCCGCTGATATTGCTTATCGAATGGATTTGAATGACAAGTACCGCGGCTTAGTAGCCGCTGATCCTCTAGTGAAAGGATATCATCCAATAGCATCTATTTTTAGAAGAAATGCTAGCTTGGGCAAAAAGTTCTGCAACACTTTAAGATGAGGATGAGGGTGAAATTGTTGCAGATCCTTTTGCCCAACCAAATAAATAAAAATTATTCTATTTCGATGGTACGGCTATTCGATGATTTGCTTCAGTCTTTCACTCATTCATTTGGTCCCCTAAAAGTTTCTCAGACCAACGCCTAGTCGTTCCGATCTTTACCTCCGCTGTGCCATTCACTTTTGGTACTTTAAAAATGAATAGCTACGTTTCGTTGGCACTTCCGAGGTGATGATCTTCTATTCATTTGATTGCCACACAAAATAGATTAAAAGTTTTTTTTAATGATTTGCCGGGAAACGAGCACTCATCACAGTGCTTCATATGTTTGGACTGCTTTTTGTACAGTCGATTTCCTCATATACTTATTAAGATAGAACTCCACTGACGGGTATATCTTTTGGTGACGTACTTCCGCTAAAATCTTACCGAAACACCTGGCGTGTCGCAGTCGCTGCTAACGACGCGAAAATGGTAGTACGCACATACCACTTTCTCCGATTTTTTGAGTTATAAATATCACAATACCATACAGACTAAATCTTGTCGTGTAAACTTCTAAACTATTATTTCTTCTCACATCACATATCGGAATAGCGTTCAGCTCATTATCTTCCACAGAAGATTGTAAAAAAGACACAGAAAAATGTCTGCTTTGAAAAGATAAAGAGAGAAACTGAAGTTCGATGTTTAAGAAAAAACTAACCTCAGATTTGTGATCGTCGACCCCGATGACGCTTCGGTCAACCCTTACTGCTATCAACTAGTGTTGGGCAATATTTGAAGAAAAAGGAATGAACGGACGAACGAACGAACATCAACTCGTTTTTTCGGTGATACCAGTTCGACGCACTACCCTCCTTTCAGTAGAGGGAGTAAAGAAATGACTGTCAACGATCAAGTTTCGGCAACTGAGACCGACGATCTGGTTGAAATATACAAGTCCCAATGTGACATGAGATACCCAGAACGATGATTCCTGAAGCAGGATTCCATGAATTTCCGACTAAATTCCTAAGGAAACTCGCCATATCTGAGCGGAACCCGCCCGGAAAATGCCAGGAATCCGATGGAGAAATGCGGTAACCGTTTCCGGCTACCGGTTTTGACATGCTCCTGTCGGTTCCGGTCCAAACCAGATAAACCCGGCTACCGGATCCGCTCATCGGAAATACTGCTTCCATGAAATCTCTGGAATACCGCGGAACTGGCCGTTTCCGTGCCGGATTGTTCGATCTGGGATGTTTTATATCGCGGATTAAAAATCCCATTTAAATCCTCTCCAAAATCTCAAATTTTTGAATGCGTCGGTGTTGTGAGATTTTTCGATGTTGAGCGTTGTTGGTGTGGGGGATGTGTTTATGGCGGTGGATGATAGTCGTGAACAGGTTCCGAGTTTTTTGACTGGTGGCTATGGTTTTCATTTTTTTTGGACCGAATTTACTGGGGTATCGTTGGATCTGTTGGGATATGGTCGAAATCAGGGAGTACTTATCGAGTGCTGTCAGCTGGATTTAGTCGGAATATTTGACGGGATCCGACAATAATTCGTCGAAAGACTTGGGATTTTGGTGGAAGCTGATTGAATGTTCCGGTGTTTCCGAAACCTAGATAATCCGTTTGACTTTTCCGCGCAGTTCCCCTAGGGTACGATCGGTTACCTCTTTGCTGATATTTTCGGTAACTTTTTTGTCGGTCGGGTATTGTGAGTCCCGACGGAAACCATACTATGGGATTGACTAGGAACGAGCCGGTTCCATGTCCGATGCTTTCCGGTTTGGAATACTGCGCCAGTTTCCCGGTGGTTTTCCGCTTAGTCCCGTCGGGATCTGAGCGGAACTGTACGGAATGAGGCGGAAAAGGGGTGCTTTCCAGCGGGTTCCGGTTGGTTCCGTGGGCCGGAACGTCCATCCTGGTTGGCAATAAAACAACGATTTCGACCCCAGGTATGTATATATTGACTTTTTTCCTATCAATTCAGAACGGTTTACGTAATTTGGCCAACTTCCTTTAGCTACATTTTTAAATATATCAGCAAACATCACATATGATTACACAAGTGAATTAAATGCTGATAGTAAAGTCATCATTAAGAAAGCATTATTACGAAGCATTACAATTCAATGTATCTGTACCATGAGACTATACATTTCGTAGTATCAGTTTGATTCATACTTACGGATATTTATTTGTGAATGAATTTTATCTAACGATACTTTGTAAAAATTTCGTTGCAAAAAATGATGATGCTATGGAAGATATGATACAATTTGAGATTCAATCAAAACTTCAATCATCCACTGTTTATATTTTAGTAGTTACGACATTTAGATCAAGTACAACGGAACAGTTTTCAATTTTAATTCAAGGTCCAGAAAAGTCAACCTCGTTCCAATCAATGAGACAAAATTATCATTGGTTATCTATAGATTTTGTTATAATCTTTGAAAAAGTAATATTTACATCTCTTTGTCTTCTCATTTGTTATATAATTATATAATTACACAAGAGAAAACAATCTAATATCAGAAATAAAGTTTATATGAAATGAAAATTCTTTAAAGAGAGAAAAGCAGAAAAGTTATAAAGACAAAGAAGCTAAATATTTATACGTTAATTTCTTTTTCAGTTTTAATTCCATTACTTCATCCAGATGATACATTAAATGCAATATATAACACTAGAATGGGAGGCAACAGTGCAGCTTCAACACTTAGCTATAGATCTGGAAATTATGATCCTCGTGACGGACCAAATAATGCGTGTGATAATAATACTTTAACAACGTATACAAATTATGGTACATATAGTGCTAATAGTGTAACCGAACGATGTGGAACACAAACAGGGTTTTATGTAACGTTAAAAAGAGGTTCGTCAGTTGTTAAAGGATTACAATTTTGTGCTGAGGATGTTAATGTTGCTCGTGATCCAATTTTAATTACGTTAGAGGGAAATAATGCGATCGGAGCCAACCTTACTGTTGGACGTAATTGGATTCCTATTTACAGCGGAAGTATTGGTTTTGAATATGGTCCACCGAGACTTTCATGTGGATTGATTTAATGTATTGGCAATTCAATAAGTTACACAAGTTATCGATTTCTTGTCACTAAGAAACGTCGAGCAGAGAATTCTGTTCAATATTCTGAAGTTCAATTCTTTAGTTATTGAATATCGATTCATACAACAACAAATAGCTTGACTCTCATTTATATTCTTAATCAATAAATCCTTTTTCTATTTCTTACCATTTATTGATTATTACGCTAATATACGTATTAGTCCTAAGACTTTCGATAAATTTCCCATGTTTGCTATTGTGGTCAGATTGCGACGCAGTTGCGCTGCAATGATCCAATTACCTCTCATGTCTATTTCGACTGTTTTGCGCCAACGATTAGAGTAATAATTGCTAATCATCTTGAGAATGTTTTGAGGGTGGGTGAGGATGAGGATGGATTGGAAATCAGGTATAAAAGAATCGATAATTAGAACTCTTTCCATTTGGCCACGACTGTATCGATGTGAAGTTATTCAATGGAAATCACAGAGATATGTTTTGACAAATACGAATAATTTGTTAAAGAAAATCATTAAATCAAAGCAGGACTCGAACATACATCTTCCGATGACCGGTGTGAACATGTTGGATGAAATCTTTTTTCGACGTCGGCGTTTGTTTTATATTCAAATAGGGTTCGTGTTAGCTTTTTCACTTTGAATGTTCTAGATTATTTCTGCTTGATGAATACATGTTGGGATTTAGTTGTTCGTTCTACTGTGTATTCCCAGTTTCGACCTTGCTCATAGGTCTCATCAGATGGCGTTTCGTTAATGACACTGTTGGCTGTCTAAGATCGTCGGCCTTTGAAACACTTCGATGGCACGTTTCGAGAGCTACCATGGCCGGTTATTCATCGGATTTATCTATTCAGATTCTTAACTGAGGCTCGTTGTCTGTAACTCGAGGGTAGTTGGTGTCATTCGTGTATTATTGTTTTTGCAAATCACCTTACGACGTTTGCAAGCAGACGGATCCTTAGACAACTGCTATTCTAGTGTAAGTCTCCTCACCGAAGAACGCCGGTCGACCGATTTTGCAGTCCATATTAGCGTTATCTTCACCTGGCATGCTACTCACCACAAATAAATCCAATCTTTCGGACGGCGAGCTTGAACATTGATGTCCAAGGATATGCACATGTGTTTTCATGGATAGTTAGTAAACAGCTGATATGTGTCTTCTTCTTACAGCTCGTCTCAACGCCCGAACAAACGCTGCCGAAACTATGTTTCCCACAGTATCACGATATGTATAGGACATATTTCCAAAATCGTAGAGATATTTAAATTTAGTCACAATCTAAAAATACACGTTTGTATGAGTAGAAAGATACGATAACGCGTACAATTATGCATTTTATTTTCAAAGACAATCGAACACACACAAAAAGGCAGATTTTGTTACATTGCATTCATATTCTTCATTCGTTTGTCTATCGACCATCAATGACTATCATCTGTAAATGCACAATTTGACACTATGTCGATGATCTTGTAATAAATGAACATACCGCTGGAATGCATATAAACTATTGAGGTTTTGACCTTGCTCAAGGGTCCCCTCAGCTGGCTTTATGTCTTCAGTATCATATAATATTCACACAGCATATGTTGATCATACGATATGTGAATGTTGATACTCTTCTATGACTCTCTCCTCGTTCTGAGAGTCATAGACAAGAGCTACCACGACGACAATCACGAACTCAAACGGTTGTTCAAGTCAATCTTTCCTTACTCCATGTCTTGCAACGATATGTCATGATGTGGCTAAATCTTATATGACAACGAAAACTCGTTCGTATATGTGTGGAACTTTTACCGGTTTCGACCTTGCTCACACAGGTCTCGTCAGATGGCTTTTATGCATTGTAATACCAGTATGTAAACAATCTCTCTCCTAATGTTTACGTATACTAGCATTACATGTATTGAGCTACCATGATCGATTGTTGTGTCCTACGTCTCAATGTGACGTCTACCCTGCTCTCTACCTATGTAGCTGACATTCAAATATTATGTTCTAACTATTCTGACGAGATGACTTCAAGATGAAGGATCAATAGACAAGCACTACCATATTCGATTACTCGTAGCTAGTCGAAGGAAACTGGTCGGCCTTAATATGGTCCACAATAGTGTTGTCTTCACCTTATCTATTTTAGAGCGGCCTCTCTCTCTGCCTCTCTCTCTCACTCCGTAACATAAAAACAGATTCTAACTAAAGCTATCTATATTTAACAACAAACAGACTAGACATGAATGTACGTATGTTTCTATTCTTTCTCTAATTAAACGAATCAAATAAATACAATCACGAAGAGAAACAACCAAAAGTACATTACATGACCGACCATTTAATATCCATCTCCAAGACGAGCCATCATTGATGTTTGCTTGCTTGATGGTGAGGAACGAGAAGTCAATCTGCTTGCTTCATCTTTGGCCTCTTGCTCGCCTTGTTCGCGCCGTTCACGTGCATTGCCAACATCAATCTGCACGAGAGCAAAACTCGATTAGTTTTTGGAAGTTCTCCGCATCTTCACATCTATCCTCAAGATCTCTTTCATTCTACCTACCCATGTCCATGGCATTTCTTCCTCCTCCATATAATCCTCTAATAATCGATGATTACATAGCCGTGGATTTGGAGGTGTTAGGCCAAAATATCTTCGATACATTGGCGAATAGCAGAACTGACTGTTGACAGTCATCGATGGAGTCTCCTGTCGAATGAGAAATAGCAGATGAACTCCATTTGTACATACACATCAAACAAACGTTGATCTTACTGTTGATGCGTCTTGTTTATTTCCATCTCCTTTACTTCAAGGCACCTCACCTTCAAGAGTCGGATCTGGCGACGCTCTTGATCTTTGTGGCACGTCTTTGTGCCGTTTGATGACCGAAGCAGATCTGCTGACGAGCTCATTATGTATCGAAAATTCACCATCATCTTCAGTGATTTTCTCCGCCGCGCTCTTTCATTTTGTTATTCTCTTTGGTATGAGACCATCGAGAAGTCTCTTCACTAGTGGCGTTTCCTGGGTCGTTTTCTTGCGGCTAGGTGTGTTCCACGAATGAACGAATATACTTAAATCTAAAGTATAAAACAAACACATACAACATCTTTCTTCTGTCTACTAAATGATCCGTCTAAATTACAATCACACACGTTTATTTCAAGCATACACATGTCAAATGATCATACAGAAACGAACACTTACAATTCGAAAAATATCAACAACAAGTGTTTCTTTTCCTCCTTCTCCTCCTCCTCCTAATATTTTCTGTCCATGTTCCGTTTCCAACGATGTTTCCATCTTAGTCAAGAACGATGCAAGTGGCTTCTTCCGAACAAAGAGTTCATTCAATGATGGATTGCACAGTGTTGTAATCATGACACGTACATCTCTCGCAAGTGAACCTGTATAGGCATAATATTTCGTCCTTAATTGTCGAAACTGACGTTTGAATTCTATTGACGGACCACTCTCGAACGTGTGTTGCACCATCAAAAGCTTCTTATTGCATTGTTTCGTTGCCAATTGCTCACAATGCTTCAATAGCTCATCACCCGTTTTGTCTTCTACTAGTCGTTGATACTTCTTTTCATGTCGCGTAGGCAAATGTAAGAATTTCTGACGCAATGCTTAATGTTGTTCAGCATCAAGTTTTGTGAAGACTTTCGGTACCTGATCCAATCGAAAGAATCGATCGAAGTGATACTTAACAAACCGTAGTGGATATTTGTTGAGAAGAAGTTTGATTTGGATGATCAATCGCTCATTATCAAACGCATACACATCGGAACACAATCGAACAGCATGCAATCATGCTTCGTACGGTATGTTAACGTGTACATGACACGAATGATCAGATGCATACAGCAGTATATAAGGCTCAGCTGCTGGCTTCCGATAGACGGCTGTTTTCAATGATCCACGATGATTTTCTACTTGAACATCTAGAAATTCGGCTTTGAAGCCAATCGAATATTTGATTCGTATGTTCTCATCANAATGACGGACATCACATTGGATTTTGTTAGTAGCAAGCATTCCTGGATGTCACAAATGACGGACATCACATTGGATTTTGTTAGTAGCAAGCATTCCTGGATGTCACAAATGACGGACATCACATTGGATTTTGTTAGTAGCAAGCATTCCTGGATGTCACAAATGACGGACATCACATTGGATTTTGTTAGTAGCAAGCATTCCTGGATGTCACAAATGACGGACATCACATTGGATTTTGTTAGTAGCAAGCATTCCTGGATGTCACAAATGACGGACATCACATTGGATTTTGTTAGTAGCAAGCATTCCTGGATGTCACAAATGACGGACATCACACTTTTCTCCGTTAGTTCCAAATAGCTTAAAGAGTTATTTATAAGTCAGTCAGGCAAGGTTCTTTACTATCTTTCAGTAATCCATGTTGCATTAACTCACTGTTCAGTTGCAAAGACTTCGGTTGGAAAGTCGATGTTTGATAAAAGAATAATGATTCGGTTGTAGAAAGAGTATTTGGAATATTTTTCATTTCTTTGATTTCAAATCTTCATACTGGCAGTTGTTGGACTATTTTATTAATAGTTAGTTTACCAGCTGTAATCTTCTGATAGTTCGTGATTGGTGTCGCGTTGAGAATGGATGTTCCAAATAAATTGTACAACATAGATGAATTGTTTTTCCTTTGATACGAAGTGGGCAAACAACACATGATATTGATGTCTTTTATTATATTGAGTGTAGCTAAAACAGTGTAAAAGCATTTCTTTTTTTAGGAGGCAAAAACCCAGTCTTGTACAATAAGTTTGATAATATCTTCGATGTCATAATATTAAACAAAAAATTCTCATCCGCACTAAATGAGTAATTATAAATATTTTACGAAGTTATTTCTCATTCATTTACTAGTTTCTCTAGGCATATACTCGCTAGAGAAAGTCGTCGAAAAAGTCTACGGTCTTCCATTAGATACTTTCGAAAATTTTCTTGAGCGTTACGCTCTAACACGAAATGGCCTTTTTATGTCGAGAGTATGGTTTAATTGATGCAAAACTATATGCTAACTTCTATTATTTAGTTCCTCTTAGTTATGGCGCAGTCTAGCATGAACTATAACTGATTATATGCTGTCCAAGTCTATGTTATTCATCGAACAATTTAAATGCAGCTTTTTTAGACAAATTCAACACTATAACTAGAAAAAAATTGCAAGAGGTACTCAATCTATTCTTTCTTAGCTATAGGGGGTTTCGGGTTAGCGTGATTCTTTGCAGCATTATATGTAACACAAAAAAAGATTTAAAATACTTACTCACAATTATAGTATTGTTAATGGAATTAATTTTAAATGAGTCCTTAAGAACAATTGCCCAGAAATATATTCCTACATACTTTTTTACATCGATTGGATATCCAAGGAGTATTTTCAATGCTCCATCGATTTTGTCGTTAGTAAAAATGAAACTTTATGACATATTATGTATATAATATGCAATAATCGATAAAACTATCAGTTGATATAATACAGGCAAATACAAAACTCACTGAAGTATGACTGCAAAGCTATTAATAAAAGCACATGTATATCTTTTTTTTCCTCGTTTTATAACATTAAGCAATCGTCTTACCTAGTTTCATGACAAGAATAGCCTCTGGAAATAAATAAATGATGTTTGTACAGACAAACATCTATCAGTTACTCTGAAATCGATCTAGTCACTGCTTAACTTCGTCTTTTTCTAAAAGTTTGAACTTATCATCTTAAAAATGTGGATTTGGATAGACAAAGACCGATTAAACATTCAGACTCATATTCACGCCTTCATCTAGTGTACGATGGTGTAATAAACTTCTGAAGTTCATCAAAAACCTGAACGATTAAAGCTATACTACAATACAGATCTTCAACATAAGTCTAGAGATTTGCCAATCGGCCGGGTACTCGAACTTCGAATATTTTCATCGGCTTTTGCGATATTAAAAGGAAAAAAGGAGCGGAAAGTATATACCAATAAATTAAGTACTCCATTATTTATTGTAATATTTTTAAAAAAGAGTAGATATCCCTAAGCTCAAGTATATGAACTTTATTCACATTTATTTAAAATTTGTTTGACTAGTTCCTTTTAAATGCACTTAACTTTTAGTTCTAAAAGAAAATTCACCTTTTAAAAACCTTTTTTATAATGTTAGATAAAACAGTGGTGATTATTCTTTCAACTGGCATTCTCAGAGATATATAATAGTAGAATAAAATAAGATATAGACAATGCTAATTCATAGGACGATCTTTCCGACGACTGGATCCGTTTAAAATTCCGGCCGGAACCGACTGAGCCACAATGACCTGGTTATTGGGAAACCTTCAGATGTACAGAATAAAAATATATATAGCCTTCAATATATTTACGGTATCATTCGTGTGTTTCATAGAACAAAACTTAAACATTCCGAGGATTTGCAAAACTATATTTTGAATTCGCCAAAAGAAAAAAATCATTGAAGCATTACTCTGCGCGCTTTTTTCTATTTCTTTCGCGCACACTCTCTGTAAACGCGCATATAAATAGATCATTACTTCGAACGATGGCATTTTACTTTTAATCGTCGATCAAACTAAGTAGTAAGTAACTATCTCTATCTCAATTTTACATATAACATCCAATGATACCAAAATTCATATTGTAGTTCGTTCTGAATTTAAGTGAAACGGAACTGAACTGATTCCAAACTGGAAAAATACATAATATAATTCATCGGATTTTATTTTTTATAAATATATATAGTTAAATCAATTCGTTTTTTTATACTATAGATCATGGGTGGCGTTATATCATCAGCAAGAGATTCATTGAATGCTGGCACCGATGAAGCGGCCAAAATGGCCAGGGAAAATCTGAAACAGATGGAAGAAACAGCTAAATTAATCAACCATGGATTTCATCTCGAAATAGTGGACAAATTGAAGAATCCCAATGAAACACGAGGATGGCAAGTCGTTGGAGGTCGACAAGATCGCGAAAGTGAGTTTATTGGTATTGCAACTTCAAAGACTCCTGCCTCAGATATTACGGCGGGAGTTCAAAATTTGATCAAAGGATTATTTGATGTCAATAAGAGCGATGGAAGTGCAGAAGGCAATGAAAGAGCTAAACAATTTCAAGACTCGGTGATTCACATAGCCCAGGGTGCATTTAATGTGTTCTTGGGCAATTCAGCTGCTGGATCTTCGACTCTACGTAAGTTTCTTATTGTTCCACATGGTCTAGCTTTCTACCGGGTTGACATCGGTATGTACAAATATACTTTGGAATCCACCGGTTTTGTCACCTATTATGAAAGCATAACAATCGTGTATGCATCTCGAGCAATCTTAGATGTCACAGATTTACATCCTGGGGAACTTCTCGCATATGCCGCTGACATTAACGGTGACGATGAGCAAAAGATAGAACAATGGGTAACTCACTTCAAGAAACTCTATCGACTTATGAAGGAACTCCGCAACGAAGCAGCTGTGGATACACCAGTTTTTCCAAATCGTGGTCTTCCTCTACCTCCAACGCCATTTGAAGACACAGAGTAACTGGCTATTCTGACTGAAAAATAAATTTGCAACTTCTCATTTATACACTCACTCCAAGAGGAAAATATTTGTTCTGTCTTTGTAGTGTTATTAGACGTTTAGCTTTCATATCATTTAACTCAGTAGTCTAACACATCCTGATTACTAATTTAATGTTGGTTTTTTTGTCTGGGTCTCTATTTCTTCAATATATTTCAATTTTTAAATCATATTCTTCTCAATTACTGATAATCTTTTTTGAAAATAAACTTCAATAAGTAAATCCATGCTTGTTTTTTAACTATTTGATAATAAATTCGGTGAACGTTCATCGTTTTGATAAATCGCGATTAATCACGACATGGGTAATAATGTCCTATGTGATATCAATAGAAAGAACTACTTTGTGTCTCTTTCAATAGAATGAGCCAAGTCTGTAACAACAACGTCAAACCAACTCTGTTTTTCTTTCTGAAGATGTGATCTGACACAGACAAATTAGTTTTCTAAAACTGCAAAAAACTATGTAAAATCGGTTTACTTTTGTGTGGGGAATGAATTTCTTCGTTGGGGTGCGATGACGAGAGGTATCGTAGTTGTTTGTCGCGGTCGTCTCTTAAATATTATAAATTTTCGCCATAATTCGGATAAACACACCAATGACACTATAAGTCAGGGATGCCAAATATAAATTTTCAAAATCAGGAGTTTTCAGAAAAAAATCAGGAGTTTATCAGGAGATTTTTCATCTCAAATCAGGAGGAAAATCAGGAGCTGTTTGTACGAAATCGCAAAGGTTATTAGATGACATTCCACTGGATTATCTCAAGCACTAACCTGCTTGATCAATGCGAATACTTTCCTGCATTTTGATGGCAGAATAATTACCAAAAAAGTTTCTAATAATCGAGTCAGAATCGAAAACATAGAATTGAAGGATTTTTTTGATCGACATTTATTTCATGAATAGTTATTCAAACGTTGAAAAAGACATAGAAAATCAAAATCAACTAACTATTAATTTACAAATCAAAACGTATCAAGTAAATGCATACATGAACATTATTTTCAAACGATTCGTGGAATCTTTGCAACATGACTATACTTATCTGACGATCGAATTTTTTTCAGCAAATCGGGTTTTGTCAAAAGATATTTATA